ATCACTAATAAGTTTTGCATTAATAACATACATGTTCATCACCTTTGCTTTGTTAACAATCTGGCCAGAATTTGACAGTTTTAACTTTGGAACTAATTCTCCTATTTCCTCATATAATTATCTGTCAGGCTTAGATTTCACCAAAGTACAACAACAATGATGCTATTCTTCACAATTTAGAACCTTACTTTATTTACAAATTTGCAGAACACCAGCACACGTACATATGCTGAATTTTTTTTAACTTGATAATTTACTAGAATAATTTCAAACTCTGTATTAACTGAATACTATAATATGTCCTTCAAATTAGAGGTATATTATTCATTGCTGTGAAAAAATCTAGTTAATGTGTTGTGATTCACACTTCTATTTTTTCAGACTATTGTAGTAAAAAGTATAAAACCTACAATGGCCACACGACATTTCTAAAAGGTGGATACAAGTTTGTAAAATGTGATATAATAGCTGAAAAGAAAGTTTTACTTGTCTTTTTTACCTAGAAAAACCTGAATCACGTTAAAATCCTGGTGTCAACTCTATATTTGCTACTTTTAGGGGAAAAGTAGGTATTATGACACAACTCCAATGTCATTTTCATGACGACCAACCCTAAAACTTAATATTTTCTTGGTGCTATAAAGTCCCTGTTGTGGTAAAACTAGGTTTCATGATTCTGTAACATTTAAATTTGAAATACAGTGTATTTGCATTACATACACACCAGAATAATCACTTTTAAGGCTGCTAATAGTTTAGTATTTAACAAATAGTTACCAAAATGAGTAAATGTTAGCATTCATATTTGATGAAGATTATAAAATAAACATGTTATTTACATTAAAGCAAAGCTTCACATAAACCACTTGAATAATGATGCCAGAAATGATCTTCAAGGGTTTTCTAAACAGTATAGCTAAAGCAAAATCCAGGACCTCTAAGTTTTAAATGAATCCTAACAAAGGAGTTTTAATCTTGTATCCCTCATGTTTATGAGGCCTGCTGTTTAGTATTTCTCCCTTTATATTTCCATCCTGGTTTCCCACCTCTTGATTATCTGAACATCTAGAAAAGTTAAAAGCCTTGGTGCCACTAAGACATCTCCCAAAAGCTGAGGATGTCAAACACTCCTGTGTCATAAAACTTGCTGTAGATACACTCAGGATGATGGGGATGGGGGGGAGAAAAGAGTCCCAGGTTGTAACCACCTAAGAAAATATTTTATTTTTCTGGCTTACTATTTTTTTTTCCAACAATACTTGAAACAGAGCTTTAGAGTTTTTCTTTAAAATGTTTAAACCTTCACTTTTGCTTACTGGATTACTTAATGAACAATTATTAATGGACTATTGACAGAGATGTCCTTCCAGCAATTTTTTTTTTAATTGCGGAAGGTGGAATCTTGGTTAGAAATATTTAATTGGGATTTGTGGAAGGAATTAAAATGGGAATTCTGTTTAGAAATATTTAATTGGGATTCGTGGGGGAAATTAAGATAGATAATTCGTTTAGGAAATCTAAAGGCCTGGCCAGGAAGACGTTTAGAGCTCCAGACTTCCAAAGGGCCACCATACCCCTGAGAGCAAGCTGCTGCTTTTCTAAAGTTAGCAGTTAATAAAAATTAACTACCTGAAAATAATAGATGAAAACTGGGCTTTAGAAAAGCCAAGCCCCATCCTTGTTTACAGCAAGCATAAAAACCAGATTTCTAATCCGTAGGAGCCACGATCACCTATTGATTGCGACGACATCTGTGCCCCTGTTTTGGGAAGCAGGGTTTTCTGTGGAGGCAGGGCTAAAAAATCCTACCATTTCCGTGCGCTTGTGCAATAAACAGCGGACAGGCCTCTCAGGAAGAAGTCTTGAAACCTGCACCTGGGCTCACTCATTTCTCACCTATGGATGGACCCAATTAAAAGTCCTTCCTTCCGTCTTCAGAAGTTATTCTTTTCAAAAACGCAGTCTGTGAAGTAGCATCACTAGGACTCATGTGGTACCCTCTAGCAGACAAAGGGTGAAATGCTTTGTGCGCCACCAAAGACAACCTCCTTCGCCCCAGGCCAGCCCAGAGTAAGCCGCGAAGCTCTAGCTCCGGACGAATCAGTTCAGCACTGGGCACACAATGACCTCAAAGATCAGAGCCTCTTAACCCCTTTCTTACCCCAGAGCTTCCCTGAGGATAAAATCTCTTAACTATTGTAGACCTGCCGGGGCGGCGGGGTGGGGGGCGGAGGGAGAGGGAGGTTGCGCTGACGGACGTGGAGGGTGGGTCATCTGGATTGGTCCTGAGGGCGACCACTTAATCCGGGACCAAGTTTATGTGGCACAAAGTGTCCTGATTCAGGATAGTTGCCAAATGCAAACCGTGAAGCCGAGGCCAAGGCACTGAAGGGGACCACCTGGGGATGGTGTGTGTGTGTGTGTGTGTGTGTGTGTGTGTGTGTGTGTGTTGGGGGGGTGTACTGGAGAAATGGAGTGGATACACTGTAAAGCTGAGTTCAAAAACCAACCCCTCCCCCTGATGTAGGCTGATTAGTAGCCCAGGCACAAGAGAAAGCTGATTTGTTTCCGCTCTCACTTCTCAAGTTCACACTCAAGTTCAACCCCTGACTCCCACAAGAGGTCTGAGTAGCCCGGACCCTTTCTCAGCCTATCCTTAAGAACAACCCCTGATGTTGCGGGTGGGCATAGCCTGTAGGAAATGCCTAGGCACGGAGGCAGAGGAGAAACAGTAATGGGTCAGGAAGGGAGAGCCCGGGAGGTAGAGAAAGGGACTCTGTCACTTTGTAAGCTTGCTTTTTCTCCAGTGGCAACCCCCGGGGCCGCCAGAGAGGCGCCTTAAGTTAAGACCTGTAAACTCCGCTGGGCAGCCTGGCTAGGGTGATGCCTTCTGGAAAGCGGGTTTTCGACTGGTTTCTAATGGTGAGCACTAGCGAGCGCCTGGCTTTCAACCATTCAGGCTGCCAGAGTCCCCGAAGCCAGCGAGCACGGTGGCGAACCCAGACTGCCTTTGCATACTGCTCCTTCAGGAGCAGCGCGATCAAGCTACAACCCACTCCTGCCCCACACTGCTCCGTTTTCTTCAGTTTAAGGGGAGAGTGAGAGGCTTTTACCCCGCAGGTCCTAGTGCTGGGTCGGAGCGAAGGTGACGCGTGGTTTCGGACCTTCAGAACACAACCCAGCCAACGGAGGAATGTTGGAAGGGGAGAAGTAAGGGAAGGGCGATCTGGTAGCCCCAGATCAGAGCAGAAGAAAGTGAAAGGAGAGAGGATGGTGGTGAGATGGGGCAGAAAAAGAAAAGCAAAGACGGGGGCATCTTTCACTTAAAGGTTCTGTACTTGTCAATTGCCCAAGTACAGTTTTGAGAGTATTTGGACAGTGGAGCATGTGACCAAACCCCCAACTGGTACATTCAACTGGAACCAGTTCGCACAAACCGGAGCTCCCACTCCCAGGGCGCGGGTCAATCATCCCATTAGGACGTCCCTGTCCCTGATCTTCCGCTATCTCCCTCCCATCCACTTCCCCGGACAACCTCTCTGTTCCTCCTCCTCCTTCCCTTTCCTGCCACGTCCCAGAGCCCCAACTAATCCAATCCCTGCCCTAGCGTCCAGGCTCCAGGGTTCACTGTGTACAGAGCAGGGAGAGCATGCCCGCCACCCCCTCGGGGTCCTTCTAGAGAGGTAAGTGTTGAGGGAGTGTGTGGGAGGTGTACACTGCCCGGTGGAAGGCGATGAATGTTTGCAGCCCCACCTTCCCAAGTTCTACCTGCCTAGTCCACCTGTCGCCGGGTCAGGGATGTAGGGAGGCCCGGGGGTTAGCCGTCTTCAACTTTCTGTTGCCAGGACCAGAAGGGCGTGCGAAGGGTAGAGGAGAGCCCCACAAAGAGCCATAGAGTGGCCAGGAAGAAAAACGATGTGAGGCAGGTGCCCAGAGACTTGCACATATCCCCATGGCACGCTGGCACCCGGCCGGCTCTCCAAGAAAAGAGTGAAGTTGTGGCCAAGCAGAAAGTGGGGGAGAGCGGGTCGGAGCACAAGCGCTCAGGAAACCTGAAGGTCCCAGCACTGCAGGGGAAGAGACGGACAAAGTGACTCCCTAAAGTCGGGCAGGCCATCCACTGGAGCAGCCCATGGGGTATCCAGGGGAGGTATCTCTCCCTTGTCCCCGACGCGCCGCCCCACAGCTGCCAGCTTGCCCCAGGGACTTGCCACTGCTGTCGCCGCTGGGGGTCTTGGCTCAAGGGCTCACCCAGCACGCCTCCCGCAGCGGCGCTTTGTCAAAAGAGCCTTCTCCACCGTGGGTAGCGCGGGCTCTCTTATCCTCTGGAACTTTCTCCGCGCAACTTTTTCGGGGCGGCGCTCGTCCCCGGACCGCGCGGGCTCTAGCACGCGGACCTGGCCAGGGCGTAGCGCCCGCGCAAGGGACCCACGCAGGGCACGATCCCAGTATCCGCGTCCAGTCCCGCGACACCGCCCCTCTGCCTACCACTCCCACGAAGGGACAGAATAGCCGGCCGGGACGCTGGCGGGCCTAGTAACCCGGAGTATGTGTGCCCGCGCGCTCGCGCCCCGCCGCCTGCCCGTGCGCCCAGCGCACCCAACCCCGGCCGGCCACCACGGCGCGCCGGGTGCTTCCAGCCGCTTCTGTCGCGAGGCAGCCCCCTTCGACTCTCCCTCCATCCGGCGCCCGCTTCCGCACCCGAGAGTGACAAGCCAAAATGGTTCAGTGCAACTCAGGGACTGGGAGGAAGCAACTAGCGTCGCTCCTCTCTCCAAAAAGCGCCCTCCTGCGTCCCTCCAGAACTCCCGAGAGGCATCGACACCTTCCCACAACTTTCTACGCCCAGGCCATTTGTAGCCCACCTGCGAACGCGAACTCCAGACCTGCGCCCCGAGAACCTTCTTCCCGTTCTGCAGGGTGCGCTCCCCTCCCCCATCTCCCCATCTGGCTGGAGTTGGCCGGACCCGGGGAGCCTCGGAGTCCGCGGGCTCGCTTACCTCGCATGGTGTGGCCGCTCTCCGGCTCCGCGTAGTCATGAAGCTGCTCCCAGCCCGAACCCCGGAGAGCCAAAAATCCTGCTCAGCACGAGTGGAGAAGGTGGTCGGCAAGGAGCTGCTCCGCCGAGAAAACCATCCCTTTAGGCGGACGCCTTGGCCGGAGGGTGACGTTTGCCGCCGCCGCCGCCGCCGCCGCTGTGTTAACAGTTTTGATGATGGTGGTGATGACTGTTTTGATGGTTGTTTGGTTGTTTGTTTTCAGGAAGGGCGGAAAAAAAAATGTGCTGTCTGGCTGGTGCCTGGGTTTTGTTTTGCTTTTTTTTTTTTTTTTCTTTCTCTCTAATGTGCTTGCTTTTTAAAAATGCCACCGCCTCCGGCTCAGAAGATTTCTTTTGTGATCACTTGGACTGAGGAGGAGGAGGAAGGGCAGCAGCAGTAGGAGGAGGAGTTGGTGGTGGTTTTGTTAGTTACAAAGAAGAAGGAGAAGGAGCAAGGGGGGAAAAAAAGGAAACAGAAAAGGAAGAAAGGCGGTGTGGATGGCAGAGCATGTGCGTTTTCACATGACATCTGTGCCTGTTAGCGGATCCAGTGAATTTTCACTGTTCAGTTACAGGGAGGAAGGGAGCGAGAGAGAAAGAGAGGAGAGAGATGGAGAGAGAGAGCCGAGAAGGGGCTTATACGCGAGGGCGGGTTTGGCCGGGACTTCCAGGCCCCGCCTCCTGTCAGCGTCGCCGCCTATCAGCGCCCGGCAGCGCTCGGAGGGGCCGTGACCACGGGGGAGGGGCCGCGGTTCCCGGAGAGAGGCGGGGGTTAGGGACGCTGCAGCCCGACGATGGCCGGAGCTGGGGCTGGTCACTAGACACTGTCCGAACTGGGCAAGGGAGAGGGAGCGACCCAGAGAGGGGGCAGATCGGCAGGTGACATTCACTTGCGACTCCAGAAGGAGGGAGAAGGCACTGACCAGTCCTTTTAGAGGCGAGAGACGTGGGGCTCCCCGGGTCCCACGTTCCGTCCCTCTCTCGCAGCGACTGCCTGCCCCGATAGTTTTGAATTTCTGGCAGCGCTCGGCAGAGTCCTCTTTCGGTAAACTCCAGATCTCTGGCTGGGGTTTCCATGAACAGGACGCTTCAGTTTTAGTGGCAGAATAATGCAAAGCAACTTCCATCACTTTGAGCATAACCAAAATGCAGTCCCATGCAAGTGCCGTCCGCTTCCTTTTAAACCATCTTTCAGATGCTTCCCGCCCTGAATCCTAAAAACAGAAAACACGACACACTAAGATTTCTTCAGTTTTTAAACATTATTTTAAAAATTTTTGCTACTTCCTTTTTTTGTCAAAGAAATTTTTGTTAGCATTCGGAAATCTCTTGGCATGGGGATACCCTACTCAAGGATAACAGCTCCAGCTGACTGTGGCTACCTCACTGATGCCAGGGAAATGGCCGAGGCCAGAGGTATGCTTGTGCGGTGCTGTTTATTTCATAAAGGTGCAGGGCTCTAGAAGGGAGAAATTTTAAGCCCACTTGCTATGAGAAGACATTTACCTATTTATTGGAGACAGGCAATTAAACGTAAGTATTTTGTATTCCTTAGGTGAAAACTGTCGTCTATGACCATTTATTTATATTTTGATAAAAATTCAATGTATATATCAAAACTGTTCCTTTGCAAGTTTCCCCCTCTCAGTGGAGACTGTAAATATAGTGACCACATCTACTCCCCGGCCCCCCATCACAGTAGGTTAATCAGGCCCCTAAAAGATAGGGGGAATTTTTGCTGCTTCTAGTCAGTCTTAAGGCATTGAGGTTCCTACTCATTAGTGTACCTGTTGGTAGAGTAGGCCTCATCATCGTTCACCTGTGCAAATAATTTTATTTTTACTGGAATTTATTCATATTCTGTCATGTAACACAAAGTGCAATGCAGAATTGGCGATCATTTAGTTAATTACTGCACCCTACACTGCCAAGTAGTTTGTTCCCCCCTGTTTAAATAAAAAATGGATTAGATTACTTGCTGAATCTTCTCTAGTGCTAAATTGACTTAGCCCTGCTATATGCCCTTCCATTTGCAAGCCAATGTGTAATTTAGGAAAATTTTAGTATTAAGAGTAAAAGTTGATTGAGTCTTTAATTAAATGAAATGAACAAAAGGAAGTTACTGTTCAGAATAGTTATTCCCTTATAAATACCTTTCCCCTAGATTTGTAATTGACACAGTAGTTAATCTTTTAAGATAATATTTAAGGCTCCCTGGTTTTATCATTTTTAATCAAGTAAAATATATTCATCATAACTACATTAAAGCTACACTAAGTTATGCCTAATTTAGTTGCTTCATTAAAAATTACTGAATATAAAATAGTCAAGAAACAAATTGTGACTACATCATTTTAATTTGACGTGCTTCAAGCAGAGACACAGGAATGCTGAAAGTTCTTTAAAGCCTTTGTAAACACTGTAATTATTATTATTGTGATTATTTTAGTTTCTATTTCTAATTAAAGAGAAATTTCAAAATTCAGGAATTTTAACTCTTCTAGTCTTAATTCTGAACATTTATTGAATTCTTAAATTTCTTTTACTGCTGTAATATCTATAATTCTTAAGAAAGATAGCCAACACATATATGGTAAGTGCCTTTCCCCCCTCCTATACATTTTTAAAAGCCCTTTGCTTTGTCGGGTCAACAAAGCATAATTTTGCTTAGAACTGTATCACATAGTTCTTAGTCCCTTTTGAAAACTTTTGAGAAAATTATTAATTAGCAGTAAAGACTTAAATTATATCATTTAAGAAGTTGAATTAAATTATATATAGTGGTACAAAAGTATTTCTTTTTTAGAGTGGAATAAATATTGATCATTGGATATATTGTGGTGATCTGGGATAGTTTGGATCTTACTAAAAATGAAAACACTGAGTTCTTGAGCTTTCCTAATAAGTTGCAAATTATTTCAACTGAATGGAACCCGTTTGTGTAAAATAAATATTCAGTACTTAAGTTAAAGAAATCACCATTTTCCAGAAGTCTTAAAATACTTATGTATGATCTGGTGTTTTTGTAACCTATCTGCCAGCAACTATCCGTATTTTGATTGGCATAATAATAATATATGGATATAATGACCTTGTTCACATGAAGTGCAGGGTTGGTCACTTTACTTGAATGATTACGCAACAATTTGGTTTCCTATAATCTTGAAACTCTGCTTTTGTCCCTGGGTCTGAAGAATGTTCTAAGTTGATGATTTTAAATGAAAATCAGTACGTCACAGCACTGTACTTAACCTCAAGAACTGATATAATTTCACTTATGTTCCTGCTAACCTGCTTTCTGGACATATCACCACCCCTCAGATTTAGCTGTAAGGCTACAGAGTAATAATGAGAAGAAATATCTTGACAGAGGCAGGGTTTATTTTGAGCCAACTAGGTAGGGTGAACATAGCATTTAGCATTATTTCAATCCTAAAATGCTTGAACCCAAATAGGAAGTAGTGGTTCACCATCGGCTAAATATTTAAGCCTATTAAAAATGGAAATGGTGGGGTGCCTGGGTGGCTCAGTGGGTTAAGCCTCTGCCTTCGGCTCAGGTCATGATCTCAGGGTCCTGGGATCGAGTCCCGCATCGGGCTCTCCGCTCAGCGGGGAGCCTGCTTCCCTCTCTCTGTCTCTCTGCCTGCCTCTCTGTCTACTTGTGATCTCTCTCTGTCAAATAAATAAATAAAATTTTAAAAAAATGGAAATGGTGAAGTACTGAGCTTACTGTTGCCAGAGGGACCCAAGAAAGATTGAATGAAAGATTTGGTAAAGATGCTCTACTATACAGATTTCTCTAGTAGGCTAAGAATTGTCTAGATTAGCTCCAATATCCTCTGCAAGTGTAAGTGTATTTTCATGGAGGTAATTACTACAATCCCAGCAGCTGCAACAGAGCTAGGCTTCTTGAGAATGGAAGCTCCATGAGAGTACTTCCCTAGAGTTGGAAGAGCTCTTGGTACATTATTCGTGCTTGATAATTATTGGTTGAATGGATGCTTTCCACTCTTTTGTCCACTAGGTTTGAATCAGAAATACAGCAAAGACCTGAATAAGATCTCTTCTTTCTTAGTTTCTAATGAATAGGAGGTGGGGTTGGGGATGGGAGAGGTGGGTTTGGAAAGAAGGAGAGGGAAGAGATTTTCTCTTTTCTTTTCTTTCTTTCATTCATTCATTTCCATTTTAAACTCTCCTAATTTGGGGAAGAAAAAAAATGATGTTTGGGTTTGGTCACATAATCACAAAAGAAAGCAAAACCTGGTTATTTTCATACTTATACTATTCTTAGTTATAATATCAGGTGGATCTTCATAGTCTTTTAGTACTTTTAAGTTCTACTTCATTTTTAAGTATGGATGCAATTTCAACAACTTTTCAGAAGGAAAAAAGAGAAAATATACTAAAAATGAATAGTTGGTGCTTTATGTAATACATTGGAAAGAGTATGTGTGGGACAAAACAAAATGAACCCCAATGGGGTAAGAGGTAAGGTAAGCTTTCGGAAAATGACAAGATAAATAGATAAGGAAAAAAGAAGAGCTAACATTTATTGGATGAACCACATGATCTATCAGCCTATTTGATTTCTATTTCCTATAAAAGCCTACATGGTGTATATTGTAGCTCACCCCCTAACACGTTCCTTTTTTTTTTTTTTTTAAGATAAAGAAACACAGGCTTAGAATGGTCAAGGAACTTGCCTAAGATCACAAATCTAAAAATGTTGGATCCATGACTCAAACCCAGACATAGCCTCTGAAATGTAAGTTCCATGAGCATGGGAACATTCCTGATTTTATTTTTTCAGTGCTGAATCCCCAGAATCTAGGTTCTTACCTAGCAACCAGTAGATGCTCAAAATATACTTGCAGGTGAATAAATGGATATTTGAACTCTTGTCCATTGCACAGTATAGCATGTCCACACACTCTATGACTAAAACTAGTTATTTGCTAAGTGCCATTAAGCAAAGAACAGTGAATTTTGACTTTGAAGATAAAAGGATTCTGTGAAAAATTTATTTAATAATTATCTATTGCTTGATTCAGGTCCATCATGGAGTCTAGGAAATACTTCTGTAATAAATATTTCAGGTCATAGATAATGTGGGTCTGAATTAAAATGGCATGAGTAGAAACTGAAAAAAAAAAAAAAAAGAGGAAAGGCTGGATAAATTTTGACAGCCAAAAGCTACAAAGTCTAGTTCATGAT